AACTGATGCACATGTATTTTGTTTTCTTCCCTTTTATGATCCAATGGCTTCAAGCGTGAGAAACCTTTATTCAAAAAGGTTTAAAAATTCGTTTAAAGGTTGAATTTGCCTTGTATTTTGAACGCACAAGTGGTTTTGTCGATTAAGCTTTTTTGTTAAAAGACAGAGTAGAAGTGGATCCCATTTGTCTGTCTCTATGCCGATATTATCGAGAGCAGATAATGGTTCCTTCTCATTATAATGCAACGATTTAATTGTTTTGGAATCATTTGTTATTATAGAATGATCCAAAAATTTTTGAATTAGGGTATTACTAAATACTCATTTATTGTTGAGGCGTTCTTCAAGTGTTTTCCACGCAGTTGAATAATTTGCCTCCGTTAGTGATAAATGGCGAATTAGGCGCTCTGCCTCTCCATTAAGATTAGTCTGCAAGTACCACATTTTTTGACGCCTAGTTGACCGTTGAAGACTGTAATTGACGTCGTGAAGGCGGATCAAATGGATATTATTTGCGGTTCAAATTTTTTATCAAATTGACCTTTGGTTGATCAAACTATGATCGATTATGCAGGTTCAAATTGGAGTCCCAATTTGAACAATTGTTGCGGTTCAAAGTCGGGGTTCACCAACTGTAGGATTTCTACCGAAATCGGGTTTGCTGAAAAGTTTTTTTTGCGTGCATCAAATACAGAACCAGTGGCATTAGACGCAATAAGTAGAGGCAATAAGTACAGAACCAATTGGGCTGCGGAGAAGTGAATACGTCAAAAATTCTTTTCGTACTGATTTTATTGAGCATGGATCCGGATTTATATACATGATTTGGGGTTACAAGGATATTTACTTAGGTCTAGTCTAGATACAAATGGACAACATGGTTTATTAACAGATTACAGGAAAATATCCTAAATAAGCAATTACATCTACCAAATGGTGTGAAGAAACGTCCGTCGGCTGGATGCATATGGTTTATGACCCGTGTATCGCATGCAGATATGCGCAGACCAAGATATCAGCTACCTATTTATTTAGGCCAAAGTAACTATCAGAAGCGAAAGAATATCTGCTAAGTCGAAATCGTACAGACTGAATGGCTGTTAGATGCAGCTCATACGTCAAGAAATTGCACTTTGGCGGAATATATGAAAAGGAAATGTATCCTAGAGAATGTGAATTTTGCGGAAATGAATTCTATGTCTCCAGTTATGTTCTTAAACAAATATATGTTGCGGACAGATTTCTGTAGAACATATAACGTCAAAAGCCATCGGAGGAACACGAATCTTGACACGTTTTTGGCGTAGAGATATTTATACTTGATTCTAGTAGAATAAAAGGCTATATTAAATTCATTGAAAAAAATATATCTGGTAGAAGGAATCGTTTCTGATATATATATATATTCTTGATCAGGATCAATAGCGAAGTCGATTGAGCCATGTCCGTGAGATAAAGTATGAAAATTCTTGAGGTCCCTACGCAGCGTAAGTTTATTTCAGCACCCTTCCACGCCCACAAATCACGAAAAACTAAATCCGGTGAGATCTCAGAAACTATTAGAGCTAGAAAATTCAGAATGTACAATCTTGAGATGCCAAAGGATCTCATGGTAATACTATTATCCGACCAAACCCACCCATACGCCCACAAGGCTCAAAAGACGGTTTTCGGATTTTCTAGAAAAGCTGATATCTCGGTAACTATAAGAGATAGTTCGGATTAAGCATGTAGGTTTTTCTGATGCTCCCAATGCGAATTGTTTTTTTCCAAACAAGCCACGCCTACTCTAACGCCCACAAACCGCGGAAAACTGTTGCGTCTATAATATTATTATGAATGCCTTCGTTTGACCTTGTTTAACTTATTTCTGTTAATATCTATCGATTTTCCAAAGATTTTTCGAATCAGAACATTATTTCGCTATTTATAAAGAAATTAAGGTTATAAGGCCTCACATGGACAGTGACGTCACTATCAATTACACAACATGCTTCCTCTGGCAATAGGTGCCGACTTCTCAATTTCCACTAGCAAAATTAATATTTTAAAATTGTGTAAAACAGTAAAAGTAAACTATAAAGTATATATATTTTTTATCAGGATGATGAGCGAAGACGAATGAGCCATGTCCGTCTATCCGTACGGACGCTAAGAGCTCAGGAACTATAACAGATACAAAGTTGAGATTAACCATGAAGATCCTTGAGGTCCCTTCGCAGCGCAAGTTTACAGCATCCTGCAAAGCGGTTTGTGTGTGCGTTACGCCCACTAAGCTCGAAAGCTTCGCATTTCGTAGAAAAGCTAATATCTCTGTATCTATAAGTGATAGAATGTTTGAACTGTAGCTTTTATGATGACCCCATTGAGAATTGTTTTTTCCCATCTAGCCACGCCCACTCTAACGCGCACAAAATCCGGAAAAACGAAAATGCAAAAATCTCGGTAGCTTTGAGCTATAAGAGCTAGAAAGTTGTGGTTAAGAGTACGTATTTATGGGGAGCCTCACTCTAATGCCCACAAATCGCAAGAAACTGTGTATTTATGTCAATACCTATCGATTTATCAAATCATTTTTAAGTCGGAACATTATTTCTCTATTTATAAAAAAATGTAGGTTATAAGGCCTCACATGGGCAGTGACGTCACTATCAGTTACTCAACATGTTTTCTCTGACAATAATGGCAACAATATTTGCGCTTAGGAGAATTGTAGATCACTGAACTGGGTATCCAGCGCAGAAAGCAAGGCAAAACCATTTTAAGTTTGCGGCATGAACGATCACATTTGCCTCTGGGCCTCACGACACTATTACAGTAGTGTAAGTCAGAGTCCGAGCGACCCAAAGCATTCCGGATGGTGGCTGATTTGAACCCTGCATACTTGGAGTGCGCAATGTAATCACACCTTCGGCAGTGAACGCAATAAATATTTTATGCTAACGAATAACAATAATGCACTACGGGAAGGGACACATTTTAAATTTTGAAGCAGATTAAGTAATCTGAGAAAAAAACACTTGTCTCTATGTGCTAGCGTGGACGTGTACTCAAGTCCCACCCCTTCCAGAAATGGTGAAATGGTTCCTCGTGATGCCTTTCTTAACAGGGCCTGAAATTCCTGATCACAATTATACAAAAATCCGTTGACTGGTCATGCACTAACTGCAAGTTAATCGCCATGGTCGTGAGGCACGTAAACACGGCTACCAACCGCTTATGGTGTGGGCTACGGCCACAGTGGTCCAAAATAAAGTCCCGTATTTTTGAACGGCCAACCATTGGCCTCCAGACAATCTTCTTCGAGGCGGCATCAGCCTCGCTCTCTACAGCTTACACTGACTGCATACAGAAATCACATATCGAAGAGCTCCGCGCAGTCTCTAGAACCTGCACCGGATCCGTAATCGTAGCATCACATTCTGGTGCTCCATTCTCACGTGGGCATCGCGCACAATCATCTTCGTGAGGCTGTGCCGGTGGGAGAGGATAACTGGCCTCTTTGCGTACTCTCGCAAGACTCCATTGCCATCACATTATCCACATTTCACTTCCCTTAGCGACTTCCAGTCCTCATTGCGCTCTGCGGACCAACAAAATCTCAGCTGGCTTACACTCAGCTACGGCTTACACTCAAGTTCATTTCATTGTCCACGGAATCCTTGAACCTTAGGACGCAGGCCGTAGTTCTAAAAATCGCATGTAGCTTGAGACTCTGTGCAACGATGTAAACGTATCACTCGCTCCATCGAGCACAGACTCACTCGGCATCTCCTCTTCATCTTCTGAATCTGCATCGTCGCCAGCTACAGATGCTAGCAAGCTGCCTGCTGGCCTTAAGAAATGTCTGTCCTCTTAACCAGAGCGACTCATTACTTAGGCCGTTAGCGGGTGGTAGTCAAGAGTGAATTCGTCATCGTTCGCATTGGTGAACACCTCGTCTTACTTGCACTTCACCGTCCTCATAAGTAATACTCCAGTAAATCGCTGCCGCAAATTCCGATTGCCTCGCATTGGCAAACACGTGCGTCTTGACAGTCACCTGCCCAAATAATTTTACATCTCAGCCGGTAGTGGGTCATCCCATGGGACCTTCGATTGTACGCCATATCAAAGCTACGTGGCAGCACAACATGATCCTCTTTCCATAATATTTCTGTTTGGTATCGAAGACCAACTTCGTACACTCACGTCGTCACTGGCTGCGTTCGTTGGAGCCGCCTTCACTCCGTAATTCTCTATCTTGAAGTAGTCTTCGACCATCTGTTCCACCTCGGTGATGGTGTATCTCGTCGCCGTCCAGCCGGTCCATTCTCCAGCGAGTACATATCCACCTCCTTTCCAGCTTCGTACAGTTCCACCAGCAATATACGTGGCGGTAGTCATTCTCCATCATAGTCGACACAGCTCTAACACAGCTCCGCAAATGGCGATGGTCTTTCATTTGCTCGGATGCCTTCCCTCAGTCCAACTGCCAGTTTGACTTGATTGTAGCATCTCCAATTGCCCCCTTGCTGGGGCGGTCTCCTAAAGCCCTCATTGCTTGCGATCGATGTCTTCTCGCGAGCCTCCACCTCCACTTTCCAAGCAGAGGCAGCACCGGAAGCTTTCGTGGAGTCCAGCTTTCTCCAATAGTCGTCGCCAAACAACCTAGAGAATACGCTCCTGCCGATATTTTGACATCTTCTTCACGCTAGAACCGTGGTACCGGTAAAGTAAGATAGCGACACATGTATATTCCTCGTGTTACAGCTCTGCCAAACTGTACACGGTAATGGGGATCTCTCTATCTTCGAATGATGTTAGCTTAGATACGCCAATCCGCTTGCGTATGGCGACTGACCTAACCCAACCTCACTAAATCTACCGGGATCGTCTTAATTATACAACAAGCAAGTACAACCTCTCATTCCGCACGATCACTACATTAGAGTATTTTTTAATGCCGTTAAACACAGCTACAACTTAAATAATTTTCATTATTATATTATTTTTTTCAGGGTCAACTTTATTGAATCCAACTAATGAACTATATTCCCATAAGATGTTCATAAACAAAACATTTTCAGATGAGTTTTATCAATTCATAGAATTATGCTTAAATGAAAACGCAAAGTCTCGATGGTCTGCTAAGAAATTAATGAAACACTCATTTCTTAAACAATGCCGCTTCACTAGTCTTGCAGACCAATTAACTGAAGGTTTACCTACATTTAAAATAAAAGATCGTAAGTATGTTAAAACGGCACACAGATAATAATATACAAACAGTAATGACAATAATGAATTTAAAACGTAATATTAGGTTGTCAAAAAAGTCTTGCGGTATTTTTATTGAATTTTCAATTGTTCATAAATTTGGTTACAATAATGCGGTTCAAGTCAAATATGCGCCGTTTTGTTTGATGACGCGTTCCCAACGAGATGCCAACTTCATAAATCCCCTCTCATAGGAGCTGGCTTCCCTATTGGCAAAAAATTCGGAGAGCTAATTTTCACAGGCCTCTCTTGTGGCCAACTTCAGACTACCAAGCGCGTTCGCCATGGACAGAAACAGGTGGTAATCACTTGGTGCGAGATCCGAACTATACGGTGGATGCAAAAGAACCTGCCATCCGAGCTCCCGGAGCTTCTGGCGCGTCACTAAAGATGTGTGTGGCCTGGCGTTGTCCTGGTGGAAGACAATTCGGCGTCTGCTGATCAAAGATGGCCTCTTCTGCATGAGTGCTGCCTTCAAGCGGTCCAGTTTTTGGCAGTACAAGTCCGAATTGAGCGTTTGGCCATAGGGGAGCTGCTCATAGTGGATCCCACCAAACACACAAAAGAACCTTCCTGGCCGTCAATCCAGGCTTGGCCACCGTCTGGGCCGCTTCACCGCTTTTCGACCACGACCGCTTGCGACTTACGTTATCGTAGGTGACCCACTTTTCATCGCCAGTCACTCTTCAAAAACGGGTCGATTTTGTGTCTATTACGAAGCGACTCGCATGCGTCGATACAGTCAAAGATGTTTTTTTGCGTCAATTCGTGTGGCACCCGTACATCGAGCTTCTTAGTGACTCCAATCTTCTTCAAATGGTTTATAACGGTTTGATGACTCATGCCCAGTCTCATTGGTCTCATTGGTCTCATTCGACCAATTCTGCCATTTTATAGCAATTTTCGACGACAGGCCTTCCGGAGCGTGCCGCATCTTCGACCACCTCTACACCAGAACGAAAATGTTGATACCATCGTTGTGCTTTGGATATGGAAACTGTATCGGGTCCATAAACTGCACAAATTTTATTAGCGGCTTGAGATGCATTTTTGCCTTTATCGTAGTAGTACTGTAAAATATGCCGTATTTTCTCTTTATTTTGCTCCATGAATGCGACGCTATAACTCACAAACGACTTAAAAGAAAAGACAATCAATCAAAACGGTATAGTATGACCTGATGCGACGAATAAAACAAGCACTACGCGGTTTCAGCGCCAACTAGCGAAAATACCGCAAGACTACATTGACAACCTAATATAATAATCATTTATTCGAGTGATCAAAATCATTTTCGTAGTATCGTCATTAGGCACGCTACAGAATAAAAATGTTTTTTAATTTTTTGCTTTATACGTTTATATAAGTTTTTGGTAAGTAATGGCCGGCGGGTTATGTAACGGGGCCGCGGGGCCTGCGTCACACGTGGTGTCCTAACCGATGCTCGCCAGGCGCAGATGTCGTCAGCGTCGGGCGCTCGTTTAAGAATACGGTGGAAGGAACTACCTTCGTTGTTAGTGGCCTTAAGGTACGCTAACCCAAATCAGGTAAATGGCGGCCGCCGGAGTAACTTTCCTTGAGTGCCCGCTCTTTATTGGGATACAAAAGAAGACTAAAAACTAAGAGCCAAAGCAATCTAAGCATTGTATTTGAGCTAGATGCGCAGCCTCGCCAAGCTTCGCCCATGCGGCCCGTTACAACGATTTATCTGGCCCCTGGCAACTCGGGGAGCGCTCTCAACACGGACAAGATAGCAAGGAAAACTTGGTGTTGTAAACTTGTTGGAGAAAAATTCGGCAGAATTCTCACCTAAGATTGTCCTTATGTACCACCATCCCCCTAATGAGAAGAGACGTTCCCATGTCTGCCTTCCCCTAACTGTTGTTGCTTTTAAGGTATACCTTCTTTCCTATCTTCTGTCTAGTCGGATTGGACTTGTCTAGAATGGGCTTTTGCGCCGTTTCGACACTGCGTTCCACTGCCAATTTTGGATCGTCAAAAATGACCGAAATTATTGTTTTATTGCACCCTATCGTGGCTCTCATGACAAAATCGACGGTGTCTTCAATAATCTTATATTTGCATGTGTATATATGTAGAATTTTATGATGTGTATATTAACAATTTGTATAAAATAGTATAAAATAGCACGTAGCTTTACAATTTATTTTTTGTTTTACTAATATTTTCACAATCTCGATGAAAATAAAACATTTCCAATTCAATTGACTTATTTTCAATTAGCTTATCTCTAAGTTCATTAAAATTATTGACGACTGTATTTCTTCCATTTATTATATCTCTTAAAAATATAATTTTAAGTTCGAATCTTAACATTACAATTTAACTAACAGTATACGAAGACTGCATTCTGGTTGCGCGTCCCTCAGGTCGGTCGCTGGGTGGGTAGGTCATTGCGACGAAGGCGTGATTGGTTGCTCAACCTTGTTTGACCTCTCGCCATGTGGTGACCGGGCGTTGATAAGGCAATGAGGCTGCTGGCTTTTAGCTTTAGGTGTGTTCTTTTGGCTTCAATGTGCCGGCGCCATGTGAGTCTTCTGTTGAGATGTACTTTGTACTTTGTATGTTACTTTGTTTGCTTGTGGGAGTAGAGTTTTGTTTAACGTAATCGGCGGGCAGTTTTGCCTGTTTAGAGTGAACGTAATGTGCTTGCATTTTAGTTCGTTCACTTTATTTCGCCAATCTGATAGCCATTTTCATCATCGACCATATGAAGAGCTAGCTGCGCAGTTGCTTGAATCGGGCATTTTGAGCGGCTAAAAATAGCTGTGTCATCAGCAAACGTAGTTGTTGTTAGTCGTGTGGTTGTCTGGATGTCTGCTGTGTAGAGGACATATAGTGTTGGCCCTAGCACGCTACCTTGAGGAACTCCAGCTCCAACAGTGTAATCATCAGATATAGCAGTCTTGCACCTCACAACAAATTTTCTGTCGTGAAGGTAAGACTCTAAAATCTTGTGGGTGCTGTAGGGGAGCATTATCTTGATCTTGTACATTAGACCTTCTAGCCAGACTCTATCAAATGCGTGAGAGACATCTAAAAATATGGCAGTACAGTACTCTCGTTTTTCAAACGCGTTCCGAATTTCTGATGTTATCTGGTTGACCTGCTCAATTGTTCCATGCTTTTCACGAAACCCAAATAGATGTGACGGGATTCCTTCCTGGATTCTCAGGTATGTGTTTACTTGAGTGATTAGGCATATTTCAAAGAGTTTAGATAGGCAAGAGAGTAGGCTTATAGGTCTATATGACGTGGGGATAGTGTGGTCTTTCCCCGGCTTTGCAATCGTTATTATAATTGACTTTTTCCATCTTACTGGAAAGTGCCCAAGTTTTGCAATGGCATTAAAGGGCTGGGTGAGAGTGAGTTATGAGGTCGCAGTGCGGTGATTCAGTTGTCTTTTGATGATGTTTACGATTTCGTTTGGGCGAAACTCAATTGGCTCATGTTGAGGCTGGGGCTGTTTCTTGTTGCTGTAGAGCTTGAGCAAGTTGACGTGAGGCATGTTTTATGCTTTGCTTAGCAGATGGCGATCTGTGATATTGCCATTCTCGACGTAAACGTCGCTTTTCGAGGACGAGCAGTTCGATTTGTAGATTTGTCTTCGTTTGATTGCATTGTGTGTTTATAGTATGAGGTGTTGAAACTCGAGCTGCAGAGACGAGTACAGATTTCAGTGAATTAACAAAACTGTCAATGTATGAGCTAATATACTTCCTGTACTTAGCGCAATTGGTTTTATGTGAGGTCAGTTTTTATTGTTGATCCCATGTTTCTGGATGTCGGAGTAGAGTAAAAAGGACTGGCGAGTGATCAGATAAAAGATCCGTAAGGCATTCGGCGTTTATCATTATTTATTTATTTAACAAAATTACATCTAGTATACAATACTAAATCTAATACATTTATTAAAGAGTACTAGCTCCTAGGGCCTACGACTCGAGATAAAGATAAAAAGATAAAAATACTTAAATATTTAGGTTGGTTCTAATGACAAAATGATAAATGTTCATAATGGTTTCTTGTGAAATTATATTTAAACTATCGGAGGGTTTTTTCTGGCCGAAAATCAGGGCCCTGACGCTCTCCAGAAGACGGCATGAGTTGAGGTGTTCGCCGCAACGGCAGGCGGGACGTGGTGTTCCAGTAAGGATATGTTCGTGTGTTGCACGGGTGTGCCCGATACGAAGGCGGATGAATGTTGAACATGCCCGCTTTCCAAGGTGCCCAGGCAGAGAAATTTTTGTGAAGGTATTGTTGATGGAAAAATATCGGTGGTCATATAGGTCCCATTCTCTGAATTGTTTGTCCTTAAGGTGGAGACGGACGGTCCTTGTTGTTGAAAGGAGTAAAAAGAAAGGATGGTTTTAGCCGCATGTCCTTTGCGGCCTGGTCTGCTAGTTCTTTTCCATGGATACCTTGGTGGCTGGGCGTCCATACAAGGGTTATATTATTAAAAGAAGAAAGCCGTCTTATCTCCACGATTGTGGGATCGGTTTGACCCCAATTTTGTAAAAAAGATAAGGTGGAAAGGCTATCGGTACAGATTACAAAGTGTCCCGAGTATTTGGTGGCAAAGAGACAGGCTTGTAATATGGCGAAGGCTTCCTCAGTAAATATGGAGTTGTAAGGGGGTTGCATTCCACCTGAGATTATTTTGTCATTACTGTCAACAACAGCAAAGGTAGTGTCGTCGTCTGTTTTTGATCCATCGGTGTAGAGCCAAGATTTTGTGCCGAGTTTTTCATGTAGGCATCGAAAGCGGGTCTGGAATTCAGCTTTGGTGGTATTATTTTTTGAGCCGTTGTACATATTAGGGATCACATTAGCTTTTGTGCTGTTTCAATAGGCTGGTAGCTTAGCAGTATTCCTATGATTGGGCGGGGGAAGGCCAAGCTGCGTTGTGAAGCTGGCACACCGCCTAAGCGTTGATATGACTTTGTAATTCCGTTTTTGCTTGAACATGGCTGAGAAATCCTTCCTTAGTAGAGCATTTTTTGTTAAATGCATTTTGCAAACGAGCTGCACGGTCAGCCAAAATGCATGCGGTAGGTGAGGTAGGAAAATCGTTTATAGCACATCGGATTGCACCATGGTATGGAGCCTGCAACTTGTTTAAGTGTGATTTTGCACACCATCCGTAAACTGGTAGATCGTAATCTATTTTGGAAAGCATCAGGGCACGAGTAATTCATATTAGTGTATTAATATGGATGTTAGTATATTTGGATGACAAAAATTTTATATTGTTAAATCTGGACTCCAGTTGTTTTCTTAGTTTAATACAATGCTGATCAAATAGGAGTTTGGTATCGAAGGTTAAGCCAAAATTGTTAAACTTTTAACATTTTCTATTCTTTTATTTTTAAAGTTAATATGGGAGAGAGTGCATCTGTGTTTGCGGCAAATATGGAGTAATTTATATTTTTCAATGGCTAGGGACGCAACCGAAATGGCTCCCCAGGAATCTATTTCACTTAATAAATCTACAAATTTATCTTTAACAATATTTACATTTTTTAATTTGGAAAAAATAATAGCGTCATCTGCGTATATTGAGAGTTGAATGTCCTTATGTCTACTTAAAATACAATTAAGTTTATCAAAAGCGATAATAAAAAGAACTACTGAAAGCCTTATTTAAGCCTTGCGGTATGCCGTTATAGAGACTGTGTTGGAGGTGTTGTTGTTTACGCGAACTCTGAAGGAATGATTGGTCATGAAGGCCTTTATAAGGTTATAAAGTCTTGGACCAACACCCCAGCGCTGAAGCTGACCAAGTACGGCATGAATTCCCACGCGATCGAAGGCTCTTTCAAAATCAGTCGCTAATGTAGAGACGTGATTTTTCGTGGAAAGAGCGTTTGACGAGAAGTGTTTAAATGCAACTTGGTTCTGCGAGATCAGGTTATTTCGGGTGATGAACCACATAAGTCGGCGGGCAATCATTTTTCTACAGCTTTTCCTAAACAGGATAGGAGGGAAATGAGGCGGTAGCTGTTGATTTCTGCCGGAGGTCTATTTGGTTTGGGATGGGATGACAGTGGCTGATCTCCAACTGTGTGGGTATTTTCCGGAGCTAAAAATTTGATTGTATACTCCTAAAAGCCTGGTTTTAAGGGAGATTGGCATTTCCTTAAGCATTGGGTAGGATATCCGGTCTGCCCCAGGGGTTTTACCCTTTAACCCGGCTAATGCATATTCGATTTCGGCTAATGTGAAGTTTTTTTCTAAGCATTTGGCAGGTGATGACAGAGCTGTTAGAAGATAGGACTGCGATAAATAGGCGTCTTTTTGGTGTACGTATTCGTCTGAAAAGTTACTGTCAGCCGAATAGTTTGACCAAAGATGCCCGAACTCTTCTGCGATATCCTCAGAACCTGTTACGACACCTGAATCGCACTTCAAAAATCGAAACGGCTGTGGTGGTACGCCGGCCAGCCTCTTTACGTCGGACCAAACTTTTTGGAAGACGATAAAGGGGATATCCTGGAGGTGAAATTTTCAAGACAAGTCCTTTTGGCCACAAGTACAGATTTTTTAAAAACTGCATTTATCAAGTTGGTGTCGGACATTCTGGCATTATAAACCCAAAAATGAATAGTATTAACATCCGTTCTTGGTGTGGAATAGAATAAATGAACATCCAATCTTAGGTAGAGCAATTGTTATGATGGTATCTAAGAAGTAATTCATATCCATAATATAATGGAATGGAATGAATAAATAAAGGAACTATCAAACATTATCTAGAATAGATGAACATCCAATCTTAGGTAGAGCAATTGTTATGATGGTATCTAAGAAGTAATTCATATCCATAATATAATGGAATGGAATGAATAAATAAAGGAACTATCAAACATTAGAGCAGAATTTGACAAATCATATAAGTCACTAGACCAGAACAGAGCTATACAGAGAACCACAGTTAGAAAACACGCCGAAATATTGGTTAAATGAGATAAATTTAATTAGGATCATTGGTCTCAGGTTTCAAAGTATTTGATCAGACTAAAATCCAATTTAGCAACTATTAGGGAAAAGTTCAAGCTAGATATATCAATACCCAATATACTTAATATGTCAGTAATAATCGAAACTGGTGAAGAACCAGAATCAAAGGAAGCGAATAATACTGACCATGAAGAATTGGAAGAGGAAGAAATAAATAATCTCACTATACCAGCTATATTAATGTCTGATTTGGACATTAATGCAGACTCAAGCATATTTGAGGAAAATTGATTACAATGGTTTATGCTGTTGCTTTTCATTTCGAAGCATCTGAAGGTTGTAATCTCACCACGGAACTGCAGCCTTGCGCACAACCCGTTTGGTTTGTGGAATACTGCAGTTGGCTGCGGACCTAATCGCTTTTGTTATTTGTGCAACTTGGTGGTTTAGACAACCTGACTTCCAATCCAACGCTCTTCTTTCTCACATAGATCTATATGCATCCCAATTGGCTAGATCTATTTTAAATTTAGGTGGGGGAGGGGTAGGGGAGGTACTAAAATGTATGGAAAAATCAAGAGATATGGGGAAGTAATCACTACCGTGAAGGTTGGATAAGATTGACCAACTGCACCTGTGTGCTATCTGCGGGGTAATGAAGGAAAGGACAACGTAGGTAAGGGAATTGTGGGTGGAAAGATGTGTGGGAGATCCATTGTTGAGGACAATCAGATCTTTTCCCGATATTAATTTCTCGATTTTTTTGCCTCTGGTGTTTGACTGACTAGAGCCCCATAGAGGGCTCCACGAGTTAAAGTCCCCTAGAACTAGGGGTGTCTAACTCTATCGAGAATGGCGGTTAAGTCAGATGTTGTAAAACTTTGATTTGGAGGAATGTAAACATTGACAATCTGTATGCAAATGCTTACATTAAGCTCCAAAACAGAGCAGAGAATATTAGAGTCGATATTTCGGTGTGAGTGGGAAAGGTTTTGTTTGATAAGAATACCAACGCCTTGCTTAGCACTGATGTTCTGCGGTAAATTGTGGAAATAGCCAATGTAACCCTTGAGGCAGACAAAGTTTATAAAGTTACAGGGCAGGTTTATTTCTTGTTAACATAAAATGTCAGGGGATTGTTCATTTATTAATATAGAAAGTCATGATAATTGTTAAAAATTCCGTTTATATTCCATTGTAATATTTTAATTGGCACATATTAAAATAAATCAATAAGATTTCTGTTGGATATAGGAAATGCTATGGGAAAGACTGGACTATGAATCCAATGTTTCCATTGATGAATCGTAGTCGGATGATATATTTAAGGCGTTAGAGTTAGTTGAGGATTCTGGTACTTTGATTTTGTTTGCTTCTTCAATAAGAGCTTTAATAATATTCGACCGCGAGCGATCGATTGGGCTGATTAAAGAGCTTGGGTCTTGTGCGTCGGGTGCAGTGGAGAGAGAAGATTTGTATAAATTTGAAAGAGATGAGATTGGCATGTTCATCTGAGAGGTCGTGTTGGTTATACTATGGGTTTCGGTCGGTTGTGGACGGAGGGCTTGCTGCGCTGGCGACACAAGGGAAGGTAGTCGATGCGTTGTTATTGTTTTTTTGTTGTAAAATATTGCGGGCTTCACGGAAGCTGCATTTCTTGCTTGTTTTTATGCAGAGAAGTTTTCTTTGGAATTGATATTTTGGGCATGTTGGAGAGGAGGCTGGATGATCGCCGCTACAGTTTGCACAAAAAATGCGAGTGCAGGGCACTGGAAGATGAGGGGAGAGGTTACAAGAAACGCAAGTTGCAGTGTTCTTGCAGTGTTTCATTGTGTGTCCCAATAGTTGACAAGACTTGCACCTCATAGGATTAGGAAAATATTCCCAAACCTTTACGGTGGGCCAAGAGACGTCAAGCTTTCTTGGTATTTTGTAGGAGTCAAAAGTAACTAATATTTTTCCAGAAGGTTTGGGTTTGCCGTCAACAATTTTCGTGAATTTGTAGACGCTGTGCACATTTTGTGACTTAAGCTTCTCTACAATTTTTAATTTGGGAATATTTATTAAGCAAGGGGCATAAATGGTGCCCTTGACAAAATTGAGGGATTGGTGGAGCTTGATCTCAACCTCAGCTATGCCAAAAAAAAATATACAAAAACACACGTGCCCGATGGAAAGAGGGGAAGCGAAAAAATAAGCGAATGGTAGGAAGGAAGAAGAAAGAAAGAAGCGAAATTGCAAAAACCACTCGATGACTGTGAGTTTTTCATATGTTTAGGAATTTTTTTGATAATCGCAAAGTCTATTAAATCGGGAAGTTTCTTTGGGTCTGCCGGCCAGTATGTTGGTGTGCCAGAAGAAACATAGTCGAGCTTGTTCTTGGCTTTGATAATTGCATTATAGAGCTGCTTTCCTCTTGGAGTCACGAAACGAGATCCCCAGTGTGTGTGCTTGGCATTGTAGTCTCCTGCTGCTATGAAGTGGTCTCCGAGTGAGTTGAAAAACTGCATAAACTCATCTTCGGCTATGGTGAAGCGTGGGGGGCAGTATACAGCGGCTAGCGTTAATTGCTTGCCAGTATTTAGGTGTATATTTATGGATGTGGCCTGTAGGTGGTTTTTAGCAAATTTCGTATGATAATGGTGCTTAATACGGCTTCTGATTAAAATTCCAGTCCGTCCGCCGTGTGCTTTACCATCTGGATGGTTTGTTCCATAGAATAAATATCCTCGAAGTTTGTTTGTGAGATGTGTTTCTGAAAGCAGCATTATGTCGATTTGATTGTCTTTTTTTTTTTTTTTTTTTTGATATAACAATACATTTATTAAACGTCAATCAGCCAACTTAATGGCTATAATACGTTGAGTACTACATAGAACAAATAACATAAATACATAACAGGAAGGAAATTAACAAATTTTTATAACTAGATAACTAGAGATCAATGCTAAATGCTAATGCTAAATTTACTGCTTTAGGACTCGAGAAATTTGGCGTCCTCTTGTCCAGAGATCGGCTGGATGCCTTCGCTTTAAACGTCTTCTTATAGTAGTGTGAGCCAGCGAGGAGGCTAGGTGGTTTGTGTGAGCTGTGAGACGATCGTTGTACCGACTCGAGTGCCTGTTTATCTGTTCCCTAATAGAGGGAATGTGGAGGTCATCTTCTAGAGCTTTGTTTCTGACGTACCAAGGCGCATTTGCAATCATGCGTAACGCCCGGTTTTGAACCCTTTGAATTTTCATGACGTTAGAATCCGAAGCCAAGCCCCATAGTTGGATGCAGTACATCATCGAGGGCACCACAATTGATTTGTACAGTAGCACTTTGTTAGCTAGGCTTAGCTTGCTCGTTGGCTTAAGCAACCAGTAGAGTTTCCTAAGCTTGGAACGACAAGTAGCTGCTATTTTCGAAGTATGCTCCACGTGAGGCGCTTATCTAAAATGAGGCCCAGGTACTGCGCCTGTGATGATTGCGGAATGATGTCGTCGTGAAGTTTGACCTCCGGAAGGGACTGCACTCTCCAAGCGAAACAGCAGTGTTGTGATTTCCTTCCATTAATCGCTATGTTCCACCTGTTGGTCCACTTGCCGTATGTGTCCAGAAATTCCTGGGTGATTCTTGATGCCTCGATACGGCAAGAGGAGTTGACTAGGAACGCCGTGTCATCGGCGCAGGTGGCCAGAAGTGTGTTTGGTTCATTCGGACAAGGCAGGTCAGAAGTGAACAGGGTATACAGCACGGGACCCAGGACACTCCCCTGTGGAACTCCAGCACGAGCAGATCTTGATCTCATCTTGATCAGATCTTGACCTCACTCCTCTTACTTCAACCATAAAACTTCGACCAAGTAAATATGATTTAAGTAAGAGGAATCGGGCAGTGATTTGATTGTCTAGTACGAAAGCTTTGTAAAATGGCTTGGCTTTCCAATGGTCGAAGCCAGCTGGGTAAATAAAGATGACATTTTTTAGTACAAATACCAAATTAAAAGACAATGTAATATTTAATTTTTTTTTGTTTTATTATTATTTTTTTCTTATAATATATAATTAAATTTAAAAAATATATTTACATACAAGTTTATAATGTGTATACTAACAATTTTAATAAAGTATTATATGTTTTTTACAATTTATTTTTGTTTAACTTATATTTACCACAATCTCGATCAAAATTAAACATTTCAAATTGAATTGACTTACAAAATAATTCTTGTTCTATGTTTACTTGCTTATCTCTAAGTTATTATATCTCTTAAAAATATATTTTCAAGTTCTAAGAAATTGATACAATCCACAATGATCATCGTGATTTAACATTGTAAACTCTGTTTCATTATGTTTATGTTTTCTTTTACTATCATTAGCACATAAATATTTTGTTTGCCCTTGATCTAAACATTGTCCTACTACCATATAGTGGAGTTCCAGGGAGTTATAATGATCCGTAGTTAAATTCCTGGAACTCACACCTTTTACTTTATTATAAGAGTTTTCAACTTTATTTACTTTATAACTATAAACTTTGGAGCATAGACCTATAAATTCACTCATTAGTTTT